AACAACATTTGAGCCATAGGTCATTCACTAAATAATCCTTCCTTCCTTCCTGTTAGTGTTATGCTCACCTTTGGTCCTCAGCTCCACCCAGACCTGGGCCCCCTCCCATCCTGGAGTTCCCTCCATACAGCTGGCCCCTTCCTCTCTCCGCCCAGACCCACCTGAACTCCCATCTACCTCACTTCCTGTCCCCCAGACCTTCCTGCTACCTGGATGGTGACATAGTCCATGTGCTTCCTCTTGGGGGAAAATATGACTCCTCTAATAAACCTTATAATAATCTGCCTGCCTGCCTCTGTGTGGTCCCCTCGGATGGATGTGTCTGATCCTCTTTCCCTCCCTCCCTTCCTTCCTTCTTTCCTTCCTTTTTTCTTTCCTTCCTTCCTCCCCCCCCCTTCCTTCCTGCCTTCCTCTTTCTGGGCCTATACTGGGGCTTGAAAGGGCCTCACACTCATTTGGGTTTTTTGCTCAAAGATGTTGCTCTACCACTTGAGCAACATCTCCACTTCCAGCTTTTTGCTGGTTAATTGGAGATAAGAGTCTCACGAACTTTTCTGAGCTGGCTTAGAACTGTGATCTTCAGATCTCAACCTCCTGAGTAGCTAAGATTACAGGCATGAGCCTCCAGTGCCTGAGCTATTCATTTTACCTTAAAGACAACATGAACTGGTCAGTTGGTTCATGAACCAGCCACTTTGCTAAGAATTTAATCCATATAGGTCTTAATTGTATGAGAGAATAGAAACCTTGCCAAAATAAAGTACACCTGGAACTGACATGTGGTCAGTCAAAAGAAGGAGAGGAACAGAGGTAGCTATAAATATTCTTTTTAGAGAGAGTAGCTTTCTCTTTTCCTTTTGTATCTTACCCATTAAATATATAGCCCTAGAAGGGCTGCAAATTTTATTAGTTCAAATCAAAACCCCCAGGAATTCAAAAATGAAGGCTAAGCTAAAGGATTTGCAGTGGGAAAGGCTTTTTGAATACGTTAACAATGAAAGGTAAGAAATTAGGTCAGACTAGGTGCTGTAGCTCACCTCTGTTATCCTAGCTACTCAGATCTCAAGTTGAGATCTGAACATTGTGGTTTGAAACCACCCTGGGCAGGAAAGTCAGGGATACCCTTATAAATTAACCAATAAAACGGCAGTAGCAGAGGTGTGGCTCAAATGGTAGAGCACCAGCCCTGAGTGAAAAAGCAAAGGGACAGCTTCCAAGCCATGGGTTCAAGCTCCAGTTTTATTTCTGTGTTGTTTTAAATTGGAAAAAATCAAGGAAAACAAGCACGAGGCCCTCCCAAAGAGGAAAGCACTTGGCTAGCAGCTGCAGAAAAATAGGAAAACATGCAACGCTTTTCAGCATTGCACATTTTCTGAAAGCATTTGGCAAAGTGCCACCTGGCCTGGAACTGTCACCCAAGTACTCCTGGCAGGTGTCTTCAGAGCACAGGAACCTTTTTTTTTTTTTTTTAAGTTTTTGTCAGTCATGGGGCTTGACCTATGGGCCTGGGCGCTGTCCCTGTGTTCTTCAGTTCAAGGCTAGCACTCTACCACTTGAGCCACAGCACCACTTCTGGTTTACTGGTAGCTTGTTGGAGATAAGAATCTCAGGGGGGGAGGGGGGAGGCTGGGAAGGGATGTGAAGGGTAAACAAAGGAGGAGGCTGCAATGCTTGGTAAGAAATGTATGCATTATCCTGCCCATGTAATTGTAACCCCTCTGTACAGTATGTTCACAAATAAAATAAAGAATCTCAGGGACTTTCCTGCCCAGGCTGGCTTTGAACCGTGATCCTCAAATCTCAGCCTCCTGAGTAGCTAGGATTACAGGCAAGAGCCACCAGTACATGGCTTAAGTTCCTTTTTATTTATTTTGTGTGCCAGTCCTGGGGCTTACTTCAGGGCCTGAGTCCTGTCCCTGAGCTTTTTTGCTCAAGGTTAGCACTTTACCACTTGAGCCACAGCTCCACTTCCAACTTTTTTTTGTTGATTAATTGGAGATAAGAATCTCACAGACTTTCTTGCCCAGGATGGTTTCAAAACACGATCCTCAGATCTCAGCCTTCTGTGTAATAGTGATTACAGGTGAACCACCAGCACCCAGCTTTAATATTAGTATTTTTTTATTACTGTCAAATAGTTGTACCAAGGGGTTTCAATTCAACATGTTAGCTTGTGAGTACAATGCATCCCCCCCCAATCACTTCAATCCACCTGGCTCCATATTCACATATCTACATTGAATTTTATGACTGCATTCATCCACCCTTCCTTTTTCCAAGCATCTGACCCCCTACCTTGATCTCAACCCCAACCCCACCTTGGCCAACTCATGTACCAGCCTTCTGGTATTCATTATGTTAAACTATATGATAGTTTTCAAAGGATACCATTGGATTCCTCTCCTGCTTATACCATATTTTAGTTAATATGTTGATGTATATATATGCATATGACTATATACATTTACATTTATAATTTAGATCTAACCTTTACATATGAAGGAAAACACAGGTGTCTCCTGTTTCTCTGAGCCTGACTTACTGTATAACATTTTTTCCAGGTCCATATATTTTTCTGCAAATGAACACAGGAGCCCTTAGTAATGCTACTTACCTTCATTGGCAAGCGAAAGAACAGTGAATGGACTCATTTAAGGGAATCCATTGTGCAGAAGATCAATTTGTGCACTCTCCTCTCTCTCTCTTCCCCTCCTTTCTCTCTTCCCCTTTTTCTCATTCTTGCTAGTTATTAAGTTTTCTTGCCTCCTCCCCCTAAGGGCATGTTCCTGTTCTGATTGGTTAAGGGGTGGATATGTGTTGTGATTGGTTTTCTCACTTTGGAACTCAAGCATGGATTCTGCCCTAACTTATGATTGGAACACTTCTGTGAATCGCACAGAAAGGACTCCTGATTGGATGGATGTCAAGGGTGGGGGCAGTGCCCAGCTGAGTGCAGTCCCATCCCTGTTTCCTCCATGAAAAATCTGGGAGCCATCATGGATTTTCCCTGAGCTCACACCTGGCCTTCTAACATGATGACCTAACACCAGTCTTGCTTAACCCCAAAGCTTAAAATTGTCTTACTGAGTAAGTATTCAGGAGGCAGGGATCTGAGGATGGTGGTTCAAAGCCAGTCTGGCAGGAAACTCTCATCCCACATCTTCAATTAACCACTAGAAATGTTGTAAAGTGGAGTCATGGCTCAAATGGTAGAGTGCTATTCTTGAGCAATAAAGCTCCAGGACAGTGCCCAGAGTCCCTGAGTTCAAAGCCCAGGACTGGCACCAAAAAAGAAAAAGAAAAGAAGTCCTAATGAAATAGAGAAAGCTCACTGGCCTCCCTTGCTTTATAGTCATTTTGGAATCACTTAGCTAAGCAATGTGTGACCTTCTGACATTTGGGTCATGATGGCACCTCTGATTTGTGGATCATGATAAACACGGAGGCCTAACTTGTTTTTCAGGAACTTGGGGGCCACTTTGGTGTATTTCAAATCCGATGAAACCACCAACTCTTCACTTGACCTACACAGGTGTCTGAGGGAGGGCCTTAAACTCTACCTTCCTTGGGCTCAAGAATCTACATTTTTAATATTATGTCCTAAGTGATTCTAACAGTTACTGAGGAACCTTCAGGAAAAAAACACAGAGACTACTGGCTTACCTCCAAGCATCCAATACATTGTCACTCATTTAATATTCATAAAATAGCTTTTATCATTTAACAAACAAGTATTTGGCACCAATATCATTATGTGCCTCAAAAATACCAAACAATTTACCAGGATTGGTGGCTCATGTCTGTAATCCAAACTACTAAGAAGGCTGAGATCTGAGGATTATGGTTTTAAGCCAGTCAGGGCAGAAAAGTCCATGAGACTCTTACCTCTAATTAACCAACAAAAAACTGGAAGTAAAGTCTGTTACTCTTCTCTAGTTATATAGACAACTAGTATTTATTATTTATTTATTTTTGGGTCCGGTTGTGGGGCCTGACCTCTGGGCCTGGGCACTGTCCCTCAGCTCTTCAGCTCAAGGCTAGCGCTCTACCACTTGAGCCACAGCGCCACTTCAGGCTTTTTTCTTTTTCTTATGTGGTGCTGAGAAATCAAACCCAGGGCCTCATGCATGCAAGGAAAGGGCTCTACCACTGAGCCACCTTCCCAGCCCCCAACTAGTATTTATTTACTCCAAATTTTCCAACTTGGAATACTTTCGAAATTCTAAAACTGAGCTGCAAAAATTAAGTTTTTGCTAGCCTGACATCACATTCCTGCTCGGCTTCCCTACCCACCACATAGAATGCTTCTAGGAAAGTTCCATTTCTATTTTTAAAATCAAAATTCCCTGTTGGTATTATGCTCATCTTTGGTCCCCCCGCTCCACCCACACCTGGCCCCCCTCCCATTCCTGGAGTTCCCTCCATTCAGCTGGCCCCTCCCTCTCTTCGCCCAGATCCACCTGAACTCCCATCTACCTCACTTCCTATCCCCAGACCCTGTAATAAACCTTATAGTAATCTTTCTCCTGTGCCTGCCTGCTTCTGCGTGGTCTCCTGGGATGGATGTGTGGATCTCCTTCATTCCCCAACCCTGCTTCATGCCCAGCTGACTTGTGCCAATCCTCACAGCCAATTTACCTTCTTCTGAGCAGTCCCTTTTCTCTCCATCTTGACATCAGACCTGTCTTTAGAGAGAAGCTCATCCTGAACCTATGTGGCTCAGTGGACGCAGTATTCCATTAAGAGGAAGCATTAATTGTAACAGTCAAATGAGAGGCTGTTGGTTGCATCCTCTCATTCTTTTAGCCCATAACTACTATGGGATATAGAAATTATTTTTCTATCTACCAGGAGTCATTCATCAACAATCATCAACAATCCTTAAGAGAAACGAAATGCTAAAAACTTACACTGTTAATGTAATGCATATGATCATTTGCGAGGCAGGGGGAAAAAACCACCACCACTACTTGATCCCCCCAAAAGAAAAGCATTAGAAATGAAACATGAACATTTAATTTCTTTTAAATAATACATGAAATAATTTACATGCTATACATTCCAAGACACAATGAACACAAATCCAATTTTATAAGACATTGCTTTTTGCCAACATAAACCTTGTAGGTCACTTAGGATGCTGATTTTTCAGTCCACGTGTGGGCATGTAAACACATAAATATATGTCTAAAGTTGAAGATTAAGGTAACTGATGAGCTGAATACAAGAAGTCTGCCATGAAGATTCTAAAACACAATGTGACTAGAACCAAGGCACGAAAGCTTCCCTTTGTGGTTATTCCTTTTCTAGGAAATAAGATTTGTTATTTGCTTACTATATTTTATAGCACATTTCTGTTACAGTTTAAGAAGCAGAACCGTTTCCTTATTACATAAGGTATTATAGAAATGAGCTGAAAAAATAAACAAATTAGAGAAGGTCACATATAACATTGGCTGCATTCATATGGAAACGCTGGGTGTGGTCAAAACTACTATAACAGAGATGGGTGGAATAAAGAGTCACTTGAGCAATCTGAGCAGATTTCAGAGTTTCTTGAATTGTACAGCCACAATGCCCAAACTCTTGAGTTGTAAAGTTAGCTGGGTAACACTGCTATTGCCAATTGACTTCTTTACTGTTAATATAAAGATATGGATTAGTAAAGAGTGTGAAAATACCAAGGTGAAATTAAACCCTTCCCAAGCTGCTTTTGTTAAACTAACTAGGCTCTCCTTAGTTTTCCTTCTATATTTAACAGAGAAGAAACAAAAATGTTCCACTTAAAAATTACTGCTTCAAGATTTATGCAACTAAGCAAAATTGGAACTATCTGTACTTCCCTTTTAACTTAAAAGTTTTTCGGCATACCAAAAGCTCAATGTGGGAAGACTACCAATATATTGGGAGATAAAGGGCATTTAAATAAAAATACATGTATGTACTATTCACTGCTTCAGGAACAAAAAGCTTAAGAGCTCTTCATACCTACACCATTATTAAAAGATTAAAGACAACCACAAAATGAGTCAATAGGATGCAGTAATCTATATTTTAAAAATCAGTGTGCTTATATGTGTCAATAATCTAAGCTGTAAATAAACCATCAAGCCCATTACAATCCAACAAAACCTTCCATTTCGTTCCTTTGAATCTGGAAGTGGGGTTAAATAAATGTACAACTTGTGCAACTGTGGATGCCAGAGAACGCAGTGTGTGGCCCCTGAAGTAATGACAGTGTTAATTCTGCACCCACAAAATAAGGCTGCCCAGAAGAGTAACAAAATATCTTCTAGTAGGTTTTCAAACTGAAGGGTAAAGAATACACTGAGAATTTATCTTAAGGCCCTCTTTAGAAATATTTTTCGTGGCACTTCAAAATTCACATCACTAAAAGGCAAAACATGTCACTATTCAGTTACACAGTCACATAATTAGAAGTACATGCCATGACAATAATTAGATAGGGATCATTTTGTCTGGTTTGCTTTCTAAAAGTTAAAATATACTTAAGGAAAGCTATTCATGTTTGGCTGTAATTAACACAGAAACAATACAGAAATGTCATCTAGTGTACTGTGCAAATTGCGTTTTGAGGAAACTTGCCAAATAACACTCATTTCTTACAGAACTGATGGTCATTCTCCTTGCTAAAGAGATGTAATCAAACCTGACTTCTTTCTCTCACAACAAGGACAGTTATTATTCTGTCTTCAATTATTTACCTACTGCTAACCCCCAAGGTCATTATTACTTGAATCCCTTTGGCCATTTGCAGAGACCATCTTCACCATCACCTGCCTCTTGCACTGTAGTCAGTGTAGGACTAACAAGTCATTCTTGCCACGCCATACTCTAAGCTGACCACAGTAGGTTCTGACTTGGAAAACTCCTCGGCGTAGTCACTGTAGCGATTATCCGCGGGACTGCTGCCCTCTATGGTTCGAAGTGCATCACTCACAGGCAGCAGAGTCTGCTCTTTAAGACACAGGGAGGTTTTGAGGGGAGGTGATTCAGGATGAACTGAATGTAACAATTCTTTAGGGATGATGTCATCCGTTTGCTTATTTTTTCGTTGCTTGATTTTCTAAAACAAAAATTTGGGGAAAATATAACTACAGATATTATATGGTCAGTCTAAACTAGGTGAAATAAAACATACTCTTTTCAAATGTTCTACATATGATGCAAAAATAAATTTCAAAAACTTCATAATGGCTAGTGCACATGACAAGAGAATCATTTAAAATGCGAATCCAGAACTTTTGTAGTGGAAAATAATTATCTATGTTTTTATATTTATCAATCAAGCCGGCCAGACATGAATGTAAAACATCACTAGGCTTTCATATGTGAAAAGGGAATGTATTACACTAAAAGTCTGGCAAGTAAATATTTAAAAGACAGAAATGAACATGATACACTTTCCTAGAAGTGTCAACTACTAGCAATTGCAAGCTTAGCTCCAGGTCTTGCTACCTGGGTTTACAAAGGTTTGCTAGCTGAACATGCTGCTTAGAACACAAGAGAAGTATTTTTCTTTTTCTTTTTAATAGAATAGTGTTTAAAGAAGAATCCTGTAGCAGGATATCATGCTGTTCCAATCTTTATACTAATCTGGAAAGTCTTCTCTTGTTACCCATATTCTGGGCCTGCTTTTCTTGAACACTCTTACAATTTGCCCACGTTGTTAGCTAAGATCACTAAGGGACATCTGCCCAAGGGGCAGATAAGAGTCATTGTCTTCAGTGTAAAAAGGTGTCCAGAGTTGGATTCTGGTGGCTATTACCTATAATCCTGGCTATTCAGGACACTGAGACCTGAGGATCGCAGTTCAAAGCTAGCTGGGGCAGTAAATCCAAGAGACTCTTACTTCCAATTAATCACCAGAAAACCAGAAGTGGTGCTGTGGCTGAAAGTGATAGAGCAATAGCCTTGAGCAAAAGAACTCATGGACAGTGCCAAATCCCTAAGTTCAAGCCCCATGACTGAGGAGAGAGAGAAAAAAAGAATTGTCCAGGATTTCTTAAGCATAAAAATTGATAAATTTGACATGAAACTTCATAAAATCAGTATAAAATATATCATGAATCAAGTAGAAGAGAGTAGGCTGGACAGTTGTTTGTAATACACATTCACTAACAGAGAATTGCTATCTGTGTATTACGAACTCTTGCAAACCAGTAAGACAAAAGGCAAAGCAAATGAACAAAAGTTTGATTAGTCCATTCACAGGAAGGGAATACCAAATGGTCAATAAACATGTTAAAGTCACTGAAATTCATTTGTAGTCATGGAAATCCAAAATATAGTAAATTAAATATAGCAAATTAAACTAATATTAAAATTATATTAGAGACTTCAGAATACTTACAGATTCTAGATCTTCAATGTCTTCCTCTAATTGTTTATTTTGTTCATTCATATTCAGAATTATATTGAATACAGACTGCCTAGGATGCAATGTTCGGTCAAACTGGTGATACATGTTTCTCCAAAACCTTTATCACAAAAAAAGAAGCTTTACTAAAACCTAATTAGACTGAAGTAATACATTTTAATGTTTTCCAATGTCTACAGTTCACTAGCCTGCTGTGTATTTTATGAATAACTGAGAAGAGCTCAAAGATTGCAAATACAATGATAAGGAGAAAAAAACATTATTTACCCTGATTTGATCATTATATACTGTCACAGTACTAAAATATCACAATGTATCTCAAAAATACATTTAATTATATGATAATCAAAAACATTTTTTTAATTTAAAGACTTGGAAATGGTAACTACCCTTTGATCATTACACATTGTATATATGTATCCAATAATCACACTACACACTATGTATAATTTAAAAGATTCATTAAAATTTTTCAAGATTAAAAAAACTTTTAAAAATTAAAAGGTTCATTAAATTATGTTTGAGAAAAATCAAATATAAAACTGCAATGATGCCAACTTACTTAAAATTGAAAGAGACTGTATTTGGCTCCAGAACTGTAAATTTCTGAGACTTGGAATTGTACAGAGGATTTAAGTATTTCTTTTGGTTATCCAAAAGAAATGGCCACAGGGAGTGAGTCTTCTCCTTCAATCTTAATAAGAGAAACAAAGATCTTGTTCAGAGATGCAAGTATTCATCTTTATAAACTAGAAAACTGCTTTCAAAGTAGAATTAAGTTTTAGGGTTTTCTTCAATCCACAGATTCATCTCCTGTCTATGAATTGTGTTTTTTGTTTTGTTTTGCTTTTTATTCATAACCACATAATAAGGTGAATGCCATGTGTCTTGAACATAACACAGGTAGATCTTTTTTTTCTCTCAACCATATACACTTGACAGGATCCTCTCAAGCCACACAATTGCAAAGGTTGATCCTTGTTCTAGCTATTGCAGATAACTACACATACAAATATGGGTGAAGACATTACTGTAGCTCCATTTGGTCTGATTTTCTTAACCCCCTATCTAGGGTACAATGTCAAGTATCATAGGGTAGGAACACAATTAAGTGGATACAAACAAGACAAACAGACGAGGTTAGGTCATGATGCAAGGTTCTAAATGCCAGTTAAAATGCAAATCTGAGTGTGTAGTAAACCAGGAGTAGTGGTTCAGACCTGTAATTCCAGCACTCTGGAGTGGAAAGGGAGAGAAAGAAAACATGAGTAAAAGGCAGAATGGTTGTGAGGGACAAAGTGGACAATCTTCTCATTTTTCCATGATTCCATCTTAGAGGAAGAAAACTATGAAATATTCATTTGCTTTTTCTTCTCTCTTCTTGTGCTGGTACTGGGCTTGAACTCAGGGCCTCATTGCTCTCATTTGGCTTTTTCACTCAAGGCTGGTACTCTACCACTTGAACCACAGCTCCACTTCTAGACATGAATGATGTCTGACAATCATATCTGCTGGTTAGTTGAAAATTAAAAGAATTTCACAGAATTTCCTGCCCAGACTTGCTTTGAACTGTGATTCTCAGATCTCAGCCTCCTGAGTTGATATGATTATAGACATAAGCTCCACTACCCTGCTCACAAACCAACACTTTAAAAAATCTACCACACTTTAAAACTAGTGATCAGTGTTTTCTTGGAAGCAGAATAATGTAAAGATTTGTCTGTTCTAAAATACATACTCAAATTGAAAATCAGCATCACAGAAGTTTCTAGGGTACAGTAACAGTTTCTGTTCTTGGAGCTTGTTGCATAGGTGTGTGAGTCTGGAAAGACTTAGTAGCCTGAACACTTATGCTATACATACTTTTCTACTGCTGTGAGGGTAAGAGACATTAGGAAGGTCCTTACATTCAGAAATAAGACAAGGGCTGGGAAGGTGGCTAAATCGCTTGCCTTGCGTGCATGAGGCCCTGGGTTCGATTCCTCAGCACCACATAAGCAAAAAGAAAAAAGCCAGAAGTGGTGCTGTGGCTCAACTGGTAGAGCGCTAGCCTTGAGCTGAAGAGCTGAGGGACAGCACCCAGGCCCAGAGTTCAGGCCCCACTACCAGACCCAAATAAATAAATAAATAAAAACAAATACAGACAATAAAACCCATTAAGTTCAGTTCTATTTCATACTGTTAAGACATTTTGTTTAGACAACCACCATTTATGGTTGTAGGTCTTGTTATGAAAAAAATAAAAATAAAACTATTTATCTATTTTTTATGTTAGCATTCATTTTAATATATATATATATATATTTGTAAAGATACTGTATAGAGGGGTTACAGTTACATGAGTAAGGTGATAAGTACATTTTCTATCGAACATTACCCCCTTCTTTGTTTTTTCCCCTATCATCTCTTCCCTCCCCACCTCCCTGACTCCTCTCTTCCTTTCCCTCCCCCACCCTAAAGTTGTAAAGTTCGTTTTCAAGATAGTGTCTTATACATCTCATTGTTACAATGGGTCAACCTGTATCCTTATTAGCACCAGAATCAAATACAGTGAAAACAGGGACTATGCCATGAGGGAAGAACATACAAGAAGACAAACAAAAACATCACAAAGTACATTTTAAGTCCATTAAAAACAACAGCAACAAAATATAAAACCTCTTGTGTCTCTATCTTGGGATTCATTTTGCTAAGCATCATCTTATATGGTCATATTACATAGCTTTTGACCTTTTCTGCTTGTCCTAGATATATGCTAGTTATTGCAAATAAGAGAAACCATGGGACCTATGTTCCTTTGGGCCTGGTTTACTTCACTTAATATAATTTTTTCCAAGTCTTTCCATTTCTTAACATATGGGGCAGTGTCATTCTTTCTGATGGAGGCATAGAATTCCATTTTGTATATATATCACATTTTCTTAATCCATTCATCTACTGGAGGCATCTAGATTGTTTACATATCTTAGCTATGATAAACATAGTTGTGCTGGTAGCTTTAGTATGGCTTTGTTTGTGGTCATTTTGGTAAATGCCCAGAAATGGGATTGTTGTGTCATAGGGGAGCTCTATGTGGAGTTTTTTGAGGAACTTTCACATTGCTTTTCAAAGTGGTTGAACAAGTTTACACCAAACAATTGGAGATAAGTGTCTTGGGGCTTTCCTGTCCTGGAAGACTTGGAACTATGATACTCAGATATGAGTTTCTTGAATAGCCAAGAGGAGAGTCATGAGTCACCAAGGCCAAGTGACATTCCTTATTTTGATATTTTTGCATCTCTTTTGTTCACTTTATGACAATGTCAATTTTGTGAGTAATCATTTTTCTTTTGAATTTTCCTTGCTTAGAAGGGATAGTTAAATATTTTCAGCTCTCTTTACCTCTTCTCTTCTTTTCCATTCCTTTCTCTTCCCTTCTCTTCTCTTCCCTCTTTCCTTTCCCCCCCTCTGCCTTCTTCCTTCTCTCTTCTCCCCTCTCCTCTTTTCAACTCATGTAAGAATGAAGTTATTTGTTAAAGGTATGTGAGTCTTCATATTTCTATGTATGGCTTAATTTCCTTTAAAAGTGATCCCAATAATTTAGACTAGTATTTTTATGTCTAATATTAAATACTTTGTAGTTATTGTTTTAATTAGTAGAACTACCTGGCAATCATTTCCAACATTCATTGACTATTCGATTTCTACTTCCCCAGTTCTCTATTCATATTTGTACTACTTTCATTGGATTTTTATATTTTAATAGTTTTAAAAAATATATTAATAAATATATCATTGGCATATTGTAGTAATATGGTAACATAATTATTATATATAATACAATTATTTCTTATTATATACTGTGTCTCATATGGAGCATATGTGTTATGGTTTGGATTTGAAGTGTTTCCTACAAGTCTCTATGTTGGGGGCTTGATCCTAGCAGGGGGTGCCATTTGGGAAGTATCTAGGAACCTTAAGAGGTAGGCCTTAAAACTACTAATTATATTTTCAAGCTAATATGATAAACTATGAAAAATATTTCAAATATACGTACAGTTTCTGGTTCTTAAGGCCAGATTAGGTCTGCATTTTAGGAGGAGGGGTGAGAGAATTTTGAAGATGTTAATAGAGAGCTCTGGCCAAAAGTTTGTGCTTTTACACTTTATTGGGATTTGATATATGACAATATGAATGCCATTGCAGAATTTATTCAGAGTAGTATGTTCAGAAGAACTCTCCATGAATGCATTTGTAAAACAAAACAATATAATAGCTTTATGAACTAACAAATGAAGGATGCAAAAGGCATCTCCCAGGAAAAGTCATGCAAATTGCTCACAATTAATTTATCCATTGATCATCAATGCAACACTATATTACAATTGTTATTTGATTCAAATGTCATTCTTTCAATTTTAGTTTATGATTTTTGCCAATGTATAACAGATTTTTTTGATGTAGAAAGAATGGAACAGATTATTTAGATCATCTCTACTGTTAATGGCCATAAAAAATTTTGGACAAGTAAAACTATAGCAAAATGAGGTGATTCTCAGTTCAGTAATATCAATGGGATTTTTTTTCTTCTCTGTAGAAAGGTAGTATCATGAGAAATTGTAGTTAACAAATGGTTCACTATGTAAAATTCAAGGTTGTAGATGAGGAATATGGTGTAGCTCAGTGGTAGAGTACTTGCTTACCACCCAGTTTAATGACCTGGGTTTTTCCCCCAGTAATACACACGCACGCACACACACACACACACACACACACACACACACACACAGAATTAGTGCACTTAGTTAACCATTAGCAATACACTTATATGGTATAGCTACATAATATCCATAGCTTTCTAAATATCTTACATATATCATGAAATTATTTTGTCAAGTGATAAATATACTTTATATTCTGTGCATCAAGCTTTTCACTTTTGTTAGTTATTTTCTTTATCATACTTGTCACATTCTCACTTTCTCCATATTTCTCTAATTTTTTTTATTTTAGGAAAAGAAAGCTAAAATTCTCATGCAAAAACTGCAAACACATTATCTAACTACTACCTAAAGCAAAGGTTGCTTTATTAAGCTATATTTCAAATAAACTTAAAACCTTAGGCACAAAAATTATAAATAATGTTAAACTTATGTTTGCAATATTGTTCCTTTTTTCTTATTTTGAAACTCTTCTCTTGTGTTTCTTCTTAAATTTATTCTTTCTCTGTTTAGGCAGAGAGAGAAAAACTTTGCATGAATGACATACACACTGGTTGTAGTTGTGGGTGACTTCTAAAGAAAACAAATCAGAATTGGCCTTTCTACAAATGAGGTCATACCCTTCTGTTATCTCTATTGGAAACAAAAGGAAAAATCCAAATCAAAACCTTGATATCAATACCAACAAATGCATCCCAACTTCCTTATTCTCTCTAAAAACTTTTCACCTTTGCTTTCTACTCTAAAAGCAAACATAATCAGAACTAGAAGCTCAAAGAAAGAACAAAGCCAGGTAGTTCAAACCTTTGAAATGTGTACATGGTATTAACTCCTCATTATCACTCTTAATCTTTTTATTACAAATAAAAAAATCTAGTATGAGCCATGAAATTTCACATTGTAAAATCTATATACAAATTTCCAAATAACCTTGATAAACTTTGGAGCAGAATCCATACTCCTAACTATGAACTGCCAGACTTAATGGACTTCTTCCTGTCATCTCTTTCCGTGTCC